CGAAACGAAAATCCTGCCTTCGAGAAAATCGCTGCGTCGGTTATTAGTCGCGATACAGTCCATTTCTCTTAAATATTCCGTAATCGGGGGGAAAAATCATCGTTCTTCGTGTATCGTGACGTGTATGTGAACCGTTTGCGTGCCTAGTTACATCTCAATGAATGCCACCGTCGAGTCAACAGCCGAGGAATTATTCTTCCCGATCTGACTACCCCTATTTTCTCTTCTTTATAAACAAATTATTCGTTAAAGGCGATCGAGGTCTTTGTGCAATACAATCTCATTGGAAAGATAAAATTTCCACCATTTTCGTGGAATTTCTTTTAAGTAGGAATAAATTCAAAGTTTCGTAGAGTAGAACAGATCGTGATTTTTAATTTACTTTAGAATCTTCTTCTCAGATTTTGAGTAATTTGAATTTTCACTAAAATGATGAATCTTTGATTTCTGCAATTTTTTAACTCATCAAAGATTCGTAATTCCAACGATCAAAACATCGAAACTTTGATTTTCGTTTCAAAATTTCCTCTCAAAAGTCTGAAAAAGATCTTTCCAATTGCAATCCCACAAAAGTCAAATTTTGATAATACCGTCGAAGAATTCAAAGTTCCAAAATTCTCGAAAAAGATCTCTTTCCAATTGCAATCCCAAAAAAGTCAAATTTTGATAATACCGTCGAAGAATTCGAAGTTTCAAAATTCTCGAAAAAGATCTCTTTCCAATTGCAATTCCAGAAAAAATTTATCAAATTTTGATAATACCGTCGAAGAATTCGAACAAAATTCCAAAATTCTCAAATTTAGATTGAAAAAAAAAGAGAAAATTTTATTTTCGCAACTTCGATAATCCTCGAATTTTCTCAACCCTCTCAATCTTCACCGTTATACAGATATATCTACTCGAAAAGAGGTTGAACAAGTTCTCAAGGAACGAATTGGAAATCATTGTGCGCCGCAAGGCGTGCGATGGGAACGAGGAAAGCCACGATCTCGGTTCCAAGCGATCCGCGAAATTTGTTTGCGAAGAAACGCGAGATCGCAACGCCGTTTCCCCCCTTTTTTACGTACGCGGGACGCGGGATCATCGGATCGGAAAATCATCATCCGCCGTTTCCTGCAATTACGATCCTATGGACAAAGGCGTTCGCGTGCGTTTCTGCCGTATATATATAATATATATACATACGTATATATATGTAGTCATCGTGTGTCGGGAAATCATCATCCGTCATTTTTTCCCCTCCTCTGCCCTCCCTCGGTACCCCAATCACTCCCTCTCTGTCGCACTCGCGTGCGTGCCGGGTTGGCTGCGTGCGGATCGCATTTCGGTGCGCGTTCACCGGGGGTTGAACGATATCGCTCTGTTCCGGATAGAAAGGCAACCGGTTTCTCTCTTCGTTTAATCCGTTCCTTTTCCTGATTTCGCTTGTTTACCCTTCTCGTGCTCCTCGTTATTTCTCCGCCGGCCATCAACGTGGTTCGCGGAACATCCACTCGAATTAATCGTGATTCGAGAACAGGAATCATTACAGTTCATGTATTTATAAATTTATCAGAAATGAAATATTGATAAATATTTTACCTTCGTTTTCGAATATCTATTTTATAAAGCTATTTATAAAATAGGTTTATAATAAAATAGTAATCGTGTTGATTAGTTAAAAAGGATATATTTCGTTGAATTTTTTTGAAAAAAATTTTGAGAAATTTTTCTATTTGTAGTTTAAATATAATATTTGATTTGTAATGTATTAGTGTTGGAAATGAAAATAATATATGAAAGTAGAGTGATGAATTACTATTTTATGATTGTCCATTTGTGAGAATGCAGATCTCAGTCGGAATATATTATGAAGATGAATCGTTCGATTGAATGAGACCAGTTTGAATTAAGATCTGCAGTGTGGTGAAACTTGTTTAGCAATTACACTGATGTAACGAGGAATATTATAAATTTATCTATTTCATCATTCGTATTCCAATTTTTCAAATAACATTCTATTTTTCTCGAAAACAAATTTCTTATTATTGCATCTTGAAAGAGGCGCGCAATTTAAACTCTCACATGAAACGGTTTCTCCCTCAATCTTCCTTCCTTCAATTTTTATCACGCAAAGAGGATTCGAAATTATTCGAAAAATTATTGAATAGGTGATACTCTTCTCGAAATTCTTGAAAAGAAACATTTGCATTATCCACTGAACCAAAGTTATCGTTCCTACTATCCTAAAATCAATCAGAAGAATTTTCAATATTGAATTAACTCTAATCATGATCCATTACTTGAAACAATTGGAACGTTAACCAGATTAAATAATCGCGGAAATATACTGGAAAACGTGGCGTAGCGTAAGCAAAGGGGATGATGCGACACGTAGAACGAAGCTGACATTCTTGGCGTGACTAGCTAGGCAAGAGAGGAGATAAACCAACGTTGAGAGTGCAGATGCACGTTGAATATTACGCTGTAATCGAATCATCAAGAGGGAAAATGTTTACGAATACGAGACGGTCGAAATAGAAATGAATGTTACGTACCTGATGGAAACCAAGGTAACTTTCTATGCTGTGGGTGGCGAAGAACACTTCCCCGTCGCAAGTGAGTATCAGCAGGAACCCGTTTAGCGCCTGTAACAAAATCATTTTGCAATAATTAGTTTGAATTCAATCACAATTGACATTTTATTATTTATTATTTCGAAATTGCGGTAATCCCAATTCCATTTCCAATTTTATTCTTCATCGAAATAATAACTCGATACTATCTTACAATTTAGAATATCTCCAAATGTTTCTAAATTGAAAATTTGAATTCCAAACATAATATAACCTAAAACATACACATAAAATAATTCAATACATTATAATATATAGCTTTATTAAAAAAAACTTGAACCCAATATTAGACTCAATATGAGAAGAATTATCCCAAAACACCATTAAAAAGAAAAAAAAAGAAAAGAAATTCAGTGTGCAGTGATAATTCACCGATGGAAAAAAAAAAAAGGGAACCGCAACGAGTGGCCGTTTCCTTTCGAAAAAGGAGGGCTCGAGGCTCGAATGTTGAGGAAAGTTTTCCCATTTATCGACGTGGGCCGATGGTGGTGGTTTTCGAATACCAAAACGAGCTGGAAACTCGAACGAGTACGTATCGAGGCCCGAAATATCCGTCCTAGTTTAAAACGGAGGCTAGAACAGCGCGGGGGAGTGAGTGAGCCGTTTAAAGCACTCGTCCGCCCGCCCCTTTCCCCACAGTTAAATGTGTATTGTTTTGTTTTATTTCGACCCGTTGCCGTAGGTGGCCGTGCCAGGTACTGTCTGACGAGTTTTTATTGGTTGAAAATATGAAGAGAGACCTCGCTTCCTCGTATCGTGTCAACCGATTTTCCTTTTACTACCGATTCCTAAGGGTAATTGCACACGATCGTGAAATGGACGATTATCTTATTTTTGGGATTGGAAAACGGTTGAAGCATTACAGTAATACTTGACACTTCGAATAGATCTACATTATAAAATTGAAATGGATAGAAATGGATATAAATAATTTTCGAGAAAATTTGGAAAATTTCGTCGAAAATTAGGAATTTTAGTTGGATAGTAATTGAGAATGGAACGAAATTCAGTGGTAGAGAGGATGGTAAGGACACCATAACCGATAGTGGCAGGGGGGTTCATCGAAGCGATCGCATGCGCGACGGATGCTGCGATTTGATTGGTTGATCCGGAGGGTGGGTTTCTCTCTCGCGTCAATACGGATCAGCGCGGAGGGTGAGTTAGGCCGAGGCTCAATCGAGCCCCTCTGTACCAGGAATATAAGCTGTAATAGGATTTTCCTGCCGCCTGCCTACGCTCCTTCCTTTCGAAATGGCCGACATTGGCCATTTCTGCAAGCCCCACCATCCCCCATGGGATTCTATTTAATCGGCACGATTGCATCTCGTCTTCGATCCTATCCAATCGAATAAAAAGATGAGAACAAATATGAAGAAATATTGTAATTATTTAAAAAATGTAAAAAAACGAGAACAGAGAAGATTAAAATACTGAAATAATGAATTACTACGAAAACTTTGATTTTTCCAAATATACGTGTAATATAAAAATATCCCTTTTTTGACTCTAATTCTCTGATAGATAAAGGATTCCCACTAGTGAAACTAGATTATAAATTAAAATCTTAAATATCAGAAATAAAGAAAAATATAATATTGTATATTACTAGAGCGTAATTTAATTGAATTTATTTCAAATTATTTCAAATTAATATCACGCAATATCAAATAGAATATTTAATTAAATTTTAAGAAAATTCGACGACCCAACAGATATAAATTCGCGTTAATTGTTAATTCGAAGATCCAGTTGAATGATGGTGAGCGAGAGATCCAGGAAGAGCATCGAAGGGGGAGGAGAAAATCGATGGATTTTTATTTCTCGCGTGTGGTGACCGGGAGCGAATCAGTCGCGTGCCGAGCAGTGCGAGTACTCGCGTGTTCCGTCCAAGCGTGAACTTCTAATACCCCTTCATCCTCACCTTGACTCTCGTGTATTAGCGGGTCGCCAATAATACTTCACGCACGAAATCTTTCCATTTTCTTCGCTCATGCAACCAGAAGTCACGGGCACGGACACGGATCGGCCTCTACGCAGAATACCTACAATCGGGATTCCACCTCTTTCGATGCTCTTTGCATTTCCTCTTCTCCTCCTCCTCCTCCTATTCTGTCTTTAGACACTCTCGGCTCTGCGAGTTTCCATCCGTTTGAACCAGTGATCCTCTCTCTTTCGCAATCGCGAAAATAAGTCTCGAAAATTGCATCTCTTTCTTCCTCTTCTCTTTTTCGAGTAGAGGTTGACTCTTTGCACTTTCTGTGCGATTTTCCATGTGTTTCTCGTAGATATTGTTAACTTTGCAGTTCCTCTTCTCTTCCTCTGCACTCTTGTACAGAGGACTCTTGTTAAATTTCAGTAGCAGCAAGGTATCCTTGAATTCTCTTTGCATTTGCTTTCTTTTCCATGTGTTTCTCGTAGATGTTGTTAATCGGAGATTCTTCGCAATTGTATCTTTCTTATATTTTGCAGTTCCTCTTCTCTATACAGAAGACTCTTATAAAATTTCAGTATCCTTGAATTCTTTTTGCATTTGCTTCTTTTTCCACAATTTTCCATGTGTTTCTCGTAGATATTATTAACTTTGCAGTTCCTCTTCTCTTCTTCTGCACTCTTGTACAAAGGATTCTTGTAAAATTTCAGCAACAAGGTATCCTTGAATTCTTTTTGCATTTGCTTTCTTTTCCACGATTTTCCATGTGTTTCTCGTAGATATTGTTAATCGGAGATTCTTCGCAATTGTATCTTTTTTATACTTTGCAGTTCTTCTTCCCTTCCTCTTACACACTGTTAAAGAGTAGAGGTTCTTAATCTTTCACAAATAATCGAAATTCCACAGGTATTATTGAAAATAATTTGATTGGAAGTATGGAGAAAGCTTTCAAAATTTTTGAAACGGAGAATTTGGAAAAGGGAATGCGAAATCAAGTGATATAATACGTTATGCGAGTTCTTTGGACTCACTTGGATAGAACAAACCGAGTTGAAAGACAAACGTGTAAATCTTAAAACGTATATAGGAAGGAAATATGGTAAGAAGTTGATATACCGAGCGATTAGATCACCGGCTCGAAAAATTGGAAGCAAGTTACGTGCGCGAAAACTTTAAGAGCAGCTTAGTCGAAATAATAAAGGAACTATAAATTCTGAGTGTGAAGTGGCACGCGAGTTTGCGCGCTATCAATCCGCGAGAGCTTTGCGAAGTGGCGATCGAAAGAAACGTGATATCCACGCTGTGCTAACGTTTTATCTTTATTTCCCCCTCCCCTCGATTTTTTCCCCTCTTCCGTTCCCTCGTACAACAAATACAATATGCTAATAACCATTTAAACACTCGAATAACCCGAGATATTTGTGATATTTAAATACCCTTGCACCCTACGTCTCATTAATGATACGTATATAAATCATAAAAATCTTCAAATCCATTTCTCTTTTAATTTTCTAATTAAATTCATTTTTTTTTTTGTCGAAAGCTTTAACTCGAATCATATTTTATAATTTAAGGAACGTTATAATATATCTGTTCAATATTAAACGGCAATTTGTATCTCTTCCACTTATCCACGTTGCAGATACCGATCAAACCGTCATATCACGATATTAGATGATGCTCGTTATTAATTGCCCCCCATTATTCTTCTTAATTTTCTGAAACTGAAACATTAATGAATCTCCATTGTATATATATATATATAAATCAGATAATCGACACACGGCCTTTTTTTTTTTGCATCACGAGTGGAATTTCATTAATATAAATATACGTGTACAAAATAGAAACCTTTATTCCGGGAATATTGTGTTTTACATCAACTGGATGCAATTACAGCGCGATTTAATTAACACATAATTCATTTCGCACCGGCAATTAACCCGTTCCTATATGGCAATCGTATAGTACACACAAATACATGCAACAATAACGATTCCATTTCTCGATATGTTATATACTTTAGGAGGAAACACGAATTACGTTTCTTCGCGAAGAGATTGAAATTTGTTTTTTTTTTATATCTGTTAGTTGAGATTATCGCGATTAAAAAATATTGTTCGTGTAGTTTTCGAAGGGTTTGAGGAGTCACGTTGTTGGATACGAATTCTTGGAAATTAGTTGAAGCTCATCACGATTTTCGTCGATTTGAATTTTGTATTCCGAACGTTTCCAATTCCAAATTCGAATTGCAGATTCTCGAGTTGAAAAGTTTCTTTCTCCTATCTATCTCGAAGATTGTTTAAATATCCTGAATTAATGAATAAATTCCTCCAATTAGTGAGTGATCGAAATTCTTCATAACAATGTTGCAATGTTGAAGATTATGAATTCGAAGGAGTTCAATCAAGTTTTCAAGAAATTTTCGAAAATTTCAATTCCAAATGAAACATTATTGAATCGAAATTACTCAACTATTTCCAACCTTCGAATTTCTTCAACTTAAAAACACTTTCTGAACAAATTTCCAACGCTTCTTGATCGAAAAAATTTTCGATTCGCGTGCGTTTCAACTCGAACGCCTTCGAATTTATCTCGGTAACGTAACGAGAGAGGAGGGGGAGGATTAATCTCGACTTGATATTTAATTTAAATTGAAATTCGAAACCACATTCTCGCCAGAGTGGAAGAATTCTGTCCGATCCCGTTTCACTCGGTGGACGAGAAGGGGTGCGTGGTCCATCAACCTCGACGTCCTCATCGACTGCAACTTTGTCGTTCGTGCGTACGTTGCCGATAACGACCTCGTTTCGTTCGTCACGAACGCGGCCGAGCAATAATTTTATTCATTTATCGCTTTCCACGTGTTCCGCCCCCGGCTCTCTTTTCGACTGTTCAGTTAATTAAGTCATCCCTTACGACGAACAGTCGTAAGCCTCTTTTTTAATGAGCCGCTTAATTGCCCCTGTGTTAATTGACCACGTATCATTATCGACGGACGATACACTCTTGTCGTAAAATTAGCCCGCTTCGTTAACAGGTTAAATTTAATCGTGCCCTCGAGAGGATGGACGAAGGATGA